GTGTATAAGAGACAGTATATATATATATGTATATATATACCAAAAAGGCAGGTAGGATTCATACCAGACAATTTAACAGTTTATACATATTGTTGTATTCTAAATAATTGAATCTAAAAATCTTATTCAACATTAATATTGATTTTTTCATATGGATCTTCAATATGCACAGGTGGTTCCATATAACCATTTTCTCCAAGTTCAATTGGTTCCATATAACCATCTTCTCCAACTTCTTGTTTAAATATTCCAACTCCATGCTGTTTTTTACTACACACTTGACTTAATATGCAAGTTGCATAATATTTTGTGCCTACTTCAGTTTTATTTTTCTTTTTGCTTTTCTTGATAAGTGTATAAATTAAAAATACCACATTGGCCAATATGCTTATGACTCCAATTACAGATAATATAGCAATAACTGTATTATTGTCTTTCTCTGAAGAAACATGTTTGCATTGTGGAGATATTTCATATCCAGTTGAAGTCATTGATTTAGTGCTGATATGTGTAGGAGCATTTACTTTTGTCTGGAGGTTTTCACTGATGAATGTGGGGCCATTTACTTCAGATTCTTCGGTAGATTGTGCTATGTTAGACGATGTCATGGTTTCTGTATTATTGTATTTGTCTGGCAGTAACGTAAGGTAACTGTTGCCAGATCCGTCATTGGAGTTTGATGTGATTGACAACATCTCTGTAGTTTCTGCCACACCCACAGTTGACTGACTGTAAGTAAATGAGAAGTCTATGGTTCCTATACCTGTGCATTCCTGTGTTGTTACTGATCCTGAGCTTTTAGCTACACAGGTGAAACTTTGGCCTTGATATAAAGACTCAGTGAGTACTGTATGTAATAAAACTAGATAACTATATTTCCATTGAGTTTCTGCTGCCAGTACGTTGCCGTCTTTGTCAATCCATTGCAGTGTTATTGGTGGATCACCCGGATGGCATGAACAATATAATTCCATATCATCTTGTTCAGTTTCGTAGTCCATACAGTAAATTTGAGCAATGACATTCCTTACAACCAGGTAAGAATTGCCTAAACCTACACAAGTACCAGGAATACAAAAATGACAGTAGTATACACCATTGTCGTTTTTTTCAATTCCGTGTACCGTCAAACTTTGTGTTATGATGTTGCTTCCAAGGGATTCAATACCATGGAGACTATACTTAACTTTATCAAACACTGTATCATTATTAGCAAGTTCTGTTTCGGCGATTGAGTGTAATTGCACACCATGTTTCCAAATTATCCAATGTTCAAATGTTTGTGACACTTGATCTAGCTCTACAGTGCAGGTGAACGTAGCAGATTTTGCACCAACATCAGTAATAATGTACTCAGGAGCAACATTCACAGTTGCTAGTGAAACCTGGAGAATGGCAGCTGTTGCTGTGATTACTCCGATATGGAAGTATGACATATTGAACTACTGTAAAAGGGAAAGAAAGTACTGAATTGAAAAACCCAATTTGCTAGTATCCGTATAAGCCTGCTTATTTTAAGTGAGCATATTTCTTGCTTTTGTGCAGCACTTTTGATCAACAGCTTAGATTTAATTATTCATTCATTTGGACACTAGGTCCTCTTTTATTTCTATTTAGGCCACAGGCCCATCAAACAAACATCACATATTGTCATGCCACAGAACAAAATTATATATTTATATAGGCATATATATATATATATATATATATACATATATATATATATATATATACATACATACATATATATATATATACATACATATATAAACACAAAAAGTAAAAGCAATAGTGCTATACAATATTGTACTTTGAGTGAAATAAAATTTGTTCTAGAAAAGCAAAGATATAACATTTTTGCTATTAAATTATATTGACTACGCTCATCTATTAACAAACTTATGTATTTCTACTGTGTGATTGTTATAGTAATATTTTTCTAAATAATCTCATGAAGATCATTATAAACTGGTCACTGTAACACAAAGTGGAATTCATTTTCTACACAGTTAAGTGAACATATGTTACAAAGTGAGTCTAACTTACTAAAAGAATTAGCATTGAGACAGCTAGATCTAGTTCTAATAAGTAAAACACATCTTCTAAACTTAAAAGTAGATATGTTACTCAAATATATTTCTTAGATAATCCTGACACCTGAGACCTTGCAAATAAATATCTCTACAACGCTGTTCAAAAATATTTATAAAATTTATTTATAATGGAATTTTGCACATTTTTTTCTCAGAAATTGATGTGGTGTGACTGAAATGGGGGAGCAAAAATATGGGCTGCAATGGGAATCTTAAGATTGACTGTTTATAAACTAGTTGAGAATGGTTCTTTCCTATCTGATGCAGTTTTATTGCTACCTTAAAACTGGAAAAGTTTGAATTGTCTGAGTGTGAAATCACTTCTATATTACTTTTATAATGAATAATACAAAAAGCAAGGTATTATGATATGTAAATTAAGATTACTCCTACCTGCTATGATACTAATTACTTGTACAAGTAGGAAGATGGCTTTTGTTGGAAATAATACAGTTCTGGTTCTGGTGAGTAAAGCCGACTCGAGAGCTAATCTCCTAAAGGCTCCAAAAGCTGGTATAACAGTATTTATAGTAGATTTAGGACTGCTATTTCCTGATTAGTTGAATGAGAGTTGAATAATAAGTATTACAAGTCAATCGTGATATTCAGGGTCCATACAGTCGTTAAAAAGTACTTGAAAGTTCTTTAAATTGTAATAGAATTCGTACTTGAAAATTGATTCTTTTTTACATATAGTTTCGGTCTGATATATTTATCTAAACAGAACACATTCTTCATCATCATGATGCCACTTGCTGGTCGATTGTTGTAAACAATAGGCCTGCCTCCTAAACTCTGCCCTTTAATTGGTTAGTTTTTTTTTGTGGGTCGTGCGCTCTCGGTTGTGATGACGTCGGATCGTCCAAAGTTACATAGTGCAACAGGAACAAGCTCAGTGTAATCGATAAAGTTTTTAATTAAACAGATTTATTGAAACAAATAAGAAACCCTCATGTTTTTATTTTAGTGTCAAATATAAATAAGTCTAACAAATTTAAATTTTGTTCTCTATATTTTTCCTCTGTATTTAAATTAGCAACATGTTTTGAGAAGTGTCTTAAATTTAAAGTATGAGTGAGGCTATAGCTTTTGTGATTTACACTGATGAATCTAACAACATCAAAATCCGATATTCAACATCTACTGAAAAGAGTCGCCCGTCGTAGAAACTTGCTTTGAGTTCCGTCTTCATTTCAGGTTGATTGAATTCAATTTTTAAGGATTAAGGCGAGAATAAAATTTATTAAAACAATGGAAGGCGTAACTTTCACCTTATCTAACATTAATGTTTACTTGTGTGGCATTTTAATCAATAGATAATCTCTATGTCAATGCTATTGGACTACAGCAAAGCAATATGGACGGTTCATTCACAGTGTGGTGTTGCTAGGCCTAGTTGTTAGTTCTTAGACATCGATGCAGTTAATTAACAATTATGAGAACGTGTACTTCTACAGTAATTTCTTAATTAAAGGGCGTTTACAGTTAAAATGCCTTGATTTTAGAGCGAGGTATTTCATTAACTATGTTTCTGAAGTTTACAAAATCATTAAAAAACAATGACGGTTGGCACCCTCTCAGTGCCGGTAGGATGGTGAGAACTTTGCAGTACTTTCACATTTACTGTGTAATAGATTGTAAAAGATTACGTAGGCGTACAGCATTATAAATGTCCAAATATAGAGATAAAGTGAACAACTAATTAATATTTGACCTATTATCAATAATAATAGACCCAACCCTATAGTATTATGAATAATAATACTGTATAGTATGATGATGTGTAGAGAATAGAGCATAACAATTAATTAAATTAATTAATAATACAATACATCATTAGTTTATACAAGTTTAAACATTTATAAAGACTTAAATATTTATGAAGTAATATAAATTAATGTCTCCGCAACGTCTACCCATCGAAGAAGGATATATTGTTTACTGTATATCTATGTCAAGCTATATGTCAAGTATTTACTGTTTTGATTGAATCCTATAATTTAAATCCACAGAGCAAAGCATGCAACTTACATGGACTAAGCCCCGCTCAACTGATAAGGAGGAAAGAAGAGGAGGAGGAGATGGGCGGCTACTACATCGTGAATGGCATCGAAAGGGTCATGAGGATGCTGATAATGCCCAGAAGAAACATGGCAAGTCTCATCAATTGGGCAAATTATGGATAAACCCTCAAAATTGAATTACACCATAAAACAACTTGTTTAGAAGGATCAAAAACTCACAATGACATACAGATCTATACTGAAGTAAAAATATCATCATAATAGATCGATACTATTAAAGTTTTTGTTGGTTTGCAGACAAAAGTCGTAGCTATTGTATTATCGAAGCATTAATGACAAATAATGCAATATAACTTATAAAGTGCCTATTAAAATTGAAAAATAACTTGCCATCGGCGATAAGAGAAAAATTGAAAAACAGCTGCAGAAGTATCACATTATTTATTATTAATTGGAGAGAAAATTATTTCTTTTTTTAAATCTTTAGTTGAGCTGAGCAGAGAGTGTATATCTTTATAGTAATTTCAATCTGTAATGTTTTGTTCCAAATGCATGTGTCACATTCATACCAGTCTGTTCAGTCTAGCATGTCGAGATGCAAATGAGCCTGTGCACTCCCAAACAACTCCACAGACAAATACATGAATGTTCAGGATGTTACATTTTCTACATAATGATTGTGGCCTCACCAAATGATATGGAATTGCGGGACTGCAACTTTATAGCCTGGTTCCCACGAGAGCCCTAGTATCCGGATCGGGAGCTAACAGTTAGCGCTAACCGTTAGCACCTGTGTGAGAACGGCCGATCGGTTAGCGCTAACCGTTATCGTTACGGTTAGCAAGCGCTATCGGTTAGCACGTTGAGTGCGTTTCTATCATCAACCAATCACACATACACATTTACAATTTCCAGTTTCTTATTGGCAGGTTATTCGATCATCATATTCTTGGTATCCGGTTCGGGATCTTCTCGTATGGACGCACGGCAGCTAACGGTTAGCAGGATCCGGATCCTGCTAACCGTTAGCTGCCGTGTGAGAACATAGCCTAAAGTTTTGTCCACTCTGTCTTATGTGACATATAAATGTGATATGCCCATATTTGGGTGTTGTATGACATCATATGGGCACATCACATTTATTTGTCACATTAAATTTTATTGTGTGGACGGAGCTTAACAGTAGAGTAACTTGGACAATTTGAATATTCATTATTGGTTTTGATTCTTAGCCAATGACAATCATGCGTCCGCAGTGGAAGACTAGGGGAAAGGGTTTCACAGAATTTGGTGTTGTGATGCGATGTGTAAGAAGTGACCAGACAACAACAGTGAGTACAAAAAATCATTATCACTAACTTTAATTTGTATTTTATGATGTTAGTGGATGTGTCAATAAATAATTGAATTTTTTTTCAATAGAATTTGATCCTTCACTACTTGAGCAATGGAAATGCAGTTTTAAGTTTTATTTATCGAAAAGAGCAGTTCTTTGTACCTATTCTCCTTCTCCTTAAGGTAAGGCATTATTACAAATTTTAGCATCACATTCTTAATAACGAAAAGGCCTTAAAATTCTTCATGATGCTCTACAACAAAGTCTTTCTATTATGATTGGTAATCATATAACTTAATATCTCTCACAAAACTTCAATTCAATCTTCAATAATGTTTTCATTTGCGTATAACTTACTATGAAACATATAAGAAATAAAATAAAATAAAAAATAAATAAATAGTTTTTGATTTGCTTGCTACGTGTGAATGATCGGGTTAGGTATGTGATTTTGATCCAGGTGTATAACTGCATAAACAAACGTGCCCCTGTTTACTTGCAAGATCTGATTATTAAATATAAGCGAGACAGAAGTGGTCTCAGGTCCGCTGAGGACACCCTTAGACTGAAGGTTCCATTTATGAGAACCAGGGCTGGTGGCAGTTCATTTTCTGTCCTCGGACCCCAATATTGGAATGAACTGCCCCTTTAAATCTGGAAATCATCTTCATTAAACATTTTTAAGAATCAGGTCAAGAGTTTTCTCCTTGAAAATTAAGATGTGATTTTGCCTAGGTCACAAGGGTCCATGGCAGACCTGTTTCCCAATTTTGTTGTTGTATAATTATTAACATTTTTATACATTTTGATGTTTTCTATTGTTATTTTGTTATTTTGATGTGATGTTATAAATGCCATATACCTGTAAATGAAATTAAAAAAAAAATTTAAATGTAAGTAAGTTAAGATTTTTCTTCATTGAACGTAGTCACTCACCTTTTTAGTGGTTCAGAGAGGTTTCCTTGTATTGTTTCAAGACTGATAATTGTTTTGAGTTGTTTCTATATATTGATCCCTCTCAACCAGCATTACTGAAGTACAATGAATGACTGTTGTGACTTTTTGTAGGCATTGGTGAACACAACTGACCAGAACATTTTCAACCAGATATTGATGGGTCAAGAGAAGAACACGTTTCTCATTGGGTAGGTGTTTCAACATGCATGAATATAAGGTCCGGTACCATAAACTATCTCGGTAATGATAAATAAGGTTAGGCTTGGCAACAGCTAGGGACACTCCCCATACCAAGATAGCATACGGTACCATATTCCTAGCCGCTGCTGATAATTAAACTGGCTTGTCAATGACTATATCAGATTCATGTAGTCCAAACTGGAATACATAGGTTGTTAATAAACATTGAGGCAACATAAAACCAGTGAGGTCTTTTCTGAAGCTAAGTGTTTTAGTAATTGTTTACTGTCCATAATTTCAAATTTTCAAGAAATGTTTTTCTTGTAAATAATTACCAACTCTTTCATTAATATTCTAGGTGTGTCAACAGCATGTTGCGCCAAGCGCAGGACCAGTCGCTGACAACACGCTCGGCCATATTAAAGTACATTGGCGAAAGGTTTCGTATCAAGTTGAACGTACCGGAGTGGTTCACGGACACAGAGGTTACCAAGTTCCTACTGCATCATTGCATATGTGTACATGCTGCGACGGACCAAGACAAGTTCAACTCCCTCATGTATGTATATAATAATAGAAAATCACACATGTTATGTCATCATTTTTGTAAGCCCACGTTTTTGTCAAATGACTGTTAGAAAATAAATTATAAATATTCTGAGCTCATTATAGTATGATTTGATGCGATACTGAGAACAATTAAATTAAATTTGATTCAATTTGTTTATTGATAATCAAAAATAATTGATAAAATTAATTTTGTACCTCCATGATAAAATCAAATAAAAAAAACAAAACAAGCTCAATATCAATGTGTACTTGGTGTGGCTGCCTCCTAACTGCACGGACACAGCAGCAGGGTGTGGACCCACCAAAAGTGTTCAGTTTAGTTCAGTTTCTTTTATTCAAATCAAAATCACAGCCAAGGCTGAATTATATGATATTTACAAAAAAAAAGTAGGCAAATATTAAAACATCAAAACATCAATCAAACACAAGCACAAGACATGAAAAATGGAAATAAAAGTAACATTAGAATACATTAAAAATTGGAACATTAGAAGTACACAACCGGATTGTAACTTCAATTAAAAGCACTGTGCAAGCAGCCACATACAAGTAACAAGAACTTATACTCCTAGTGCATTGCTATGCAAATAGGAAATCATAAATATCGTGTTTATTCATACAGATTCATGGCAAGAAAGTTGTATGCATTTGCCAAAGGGGAATGCTGCCAAGAGAGCACTGACAGTCCCATGAACCAGGAAGTACTTCTTGCAGGTCATCTATACCTCATGGTACTCAAGGTAAATCCTTATGACATTCTTCTGTCATAAGTGATATTTTAAGTGTTTTTATGATGCCACTCATCAGTCAGCTGATATTAACTTTATTGTTGTTATATGAATGTTTGCATTGCTATGTATAGTAACAACCAGTAAATGTATGTGGTACCTCACATTTTGAATATGATTGTGTTGTTGAGAATATCTTGATATTCCGATAACATTGCTCTAATCATCATCAGGAGAATAATTCAAATATTGTTGTTATTGAGTATTTATACAGGCAAAAATTGATAGAATAAATTATTTAGAGTTAAAGCTCATCTTTATAATTCTGTTGTATTTGAATGGTATTTAACTGTCTATAACGTATGGACAAGAGGCAAAGAGAACAACCACTCAAAGGTGGAAAAATGAAACAATCACACAATGGTGGCTGCGAGGACAAGGATAAAGTTGACAGTTGCGGTGGCTGTGGTAGCCATACTGATTAAATTTCATATATCATTATGTATGTTTATCTATTTTTATCTGCACTTTTCTACCACTTCATATTTTAAGGAAAAACTGGAGAATTGGTTGATTGGTGTTAGGATGAATTTAGAAAAAGCAGCCAAAAGTAAAGGAGAAACATTCAAAGTTGATCAGAGTAAGCTAATGACAAAATTATTCTAATCAATGTAATCAAATTTATTAAGTTTAGTTGTTAATGATGTCTTGCTTTTAAATGCTTTTGTTATTTAATTGCTTAGAAACCATGTCAGATGCCATGTGTCACGTTAGTGATCTGTCACGACCTATGGAGTATCTCATATCTACCGGTAACCTGGCATCTAAAACAGGACTCGGCCTAATGCAGGTGAGATTGTATTGCATTATATTGTCACTTCTTTGGTTTCACAGTATTAGCATGTCTGGCTGTAAAGCTAACAACATCAATTTAACTTGATTGTTTTCCCCCCTTGACTTCAGGCCGCTGGTTTAACTGTTGTGGCTGATAAGCTCAACTTTATGAGGTACATCTCTCATTTCCGCTGCATTCATCGAGGAGCTTTTTTCTCAGAGATGAGAACAACAAGTGTAAGGAAGCTACTGCCAGAAGCCTGGGGTGAGATGCCATTATAAATATACTGTAAAACCTAGAATAGAAGCCCTTGGTTTCTTTTTTTTGCAAACTTTGGATGGGCTTCTCTTCGAGATGGGTTTTTTTCGAGGCTGCTTTTGCAATCTAAAGAGAAGGGCTTCAATTTTAGATGGGCTTTTTCTCGAGATTAAGCCCATTGGGTTTCAATTTGAAGATTTACGGTAGATTCTTTGTCACAGTCAGAAAATAACATAGCTATAGTAATATCATCTTCGAGAAAACATAATAGTAGTAATATTTTAATAGTTTACATTTGTATAGCACCGGTAAACAAGATGCTCATGGCGCTTGATGTGTGGATATAGCCAATTGTTAATGGTATTTCCAGAGTTATGGGTGCATTTTCTAAAATACTACACCATTCCTTTAGCCTCGCATTGAGATTTGGTTTACAGAGTATCTGAGATAATTTGAAGGAAAAAATAAGGGTTAAACAAAGTACTGATAACAATTATTGTAGTCTATATAATTTAATTTTGGGAATATTTTATTTTCACAGGATTTTTATGTCCTGTTCACACACCAGATGGAACACCATGTGGTCTGATGAACCACTTGTCTGCAAACTGTGTAGTAAGTAACCGTACCTCAACGCCCCATCACATTGTTAAGTAAAGAATGTGATGGAGTAATGTAAATAGAACAGTGGTGTAAGGAAGGGACTGGAGGCCCTTGGGCAGGGGGCCCTTTAGGGGCTCCCAGACGCTCCAGCATTTTTAGCGTTCTATGACGTATTTTAATGTCATTTTTACTCATTCAAACTTTAAGTTTATGTATCATGATTTGGCCCAAAAAAAAAAAAAAATAGGCCTACTTAATTTTAACTAAGATATCACTAATAAATATATTACAATGAATACCAAACAAAACAAGCCAATAAAATCAATAAATATTCATGTGTGTCAATGCTTTTGTGTTGGGATTCAATATTTCGACATTAATTATGTCATCATCAGGAATGATGATGACATAATTAATGTCGAAATATTGAATCCCAACACGATGGCGTGTATTTCAATACTTGGAGTATGTATTATACTTTCTTATCTGAGATTAATCAGTGGACCTTTCGGTCAATGCTTTTGCTCATGGCTACTGTACTCGTGCAACTTTTTCAAGTTACAACAAAACACTGACTGGAGATAGTGATGATAATAAAAATGCCCCAATCACTTAGCAGACTTAGGCTTGGAAAAGGGCCTTGGTTATTTGCTTGTAAAAAAAAGATTTGAATTTGCTTTTGGCCTCTTGAGGCTCCGGGACCCCTAGCTTTAGCCAGTGGGAGCTCATAGCTGTTATGCCACTTAAATAGAATGATACATTTTTTATATTAATTTTAAGCAAACAATAAATATTCTGTATTTTGTTTTCTGTTATGTTTGTACCAACAACCAATAATATTTTAACTTTCTTCTTGTTATTTGTTAGATAATCCAACAACCAATGAAAATGTCTATTTCTACTTGTTATTTGTTAGGTTGTGAACCAACAGCCAATGACAGCTCACTTATCTCGTCTGCTGTGTAGCTTGGGTATGATACCTTATGACAGTGTAGGAGCTGAGACCAGCCAATGTCTACTGGTCTTACTGGATGGAAGAGTTCTTGGAATTATAAGTGAAGATGCAGCAAAAGAACTTGCAAACAAACTACGAATGATGAAAGTTAATGGACTACAAAATGTAAGCACATTATTGAGTTGTAATTTTCTTTTCATTTATTAATAATTTTTACTGCAAATATAAAAACATTACTGGATATAATACCAAAGAACATTTATAGTAGAATAATGAGGTCTTTGCGTAGTTTGCACTTAAATTGATGTACGAGCACGGGACTATTGATGGAGTGGATAAACTAACAGGAAACAAAATCTATTAAACTAAATGAAGGATACCACTGTGGGGTCGGGGACTAGGAAACCTGGATATTGTTTCATTATTTTCAGGTTCTGCTTTATCTTCTGTCTATAATCACTGTATAACCAATAACACCCAAAATTAATTTTTTCTTTAAAGAAATAACAAAATTGATGTAATTTGTGAAAGTTAAGATAAAATAAGATAAGATAAACTTTATTGCTCCAAACTAGGAAATTCAGTACTTGCATTAATATATACAATTGACAGTAAAAGTATTAAAACAATAAACAAATGCAATAAAGTATAATAATTACTATAAAAGAGATATCAAACAACAACCATTAAAACATTACGACAGTCACCAAAGCACAGAAGCAACAGCACGGAGGGTAAAGCTAAGACAAACAATATAATTTGAAGTTATTACAATATTATTATTATATTATTATTATTATTATTATTATTATTATTATTATTATGTTACTAAAACCTACCTTAAGGTGAACTTAGATAATGGAGAATTAGAGAACAATTAAAAGAACGATGTTAAGGGGGAAATAACATGATGTTAAGGGGAAAACACAAAGGATATTCCCCTTAAGTCCAATTTAGTGAAATTATTATTATTATTGCTATTATTATTATTACTACCATTTTAATCAGTTTCATTTTTATCATCATTATCATTATTGTCATACTTGGTCAACCAGATAATTTTAATTTTTTTTTTTCAGGTTCCATCTACCATGGAGATTGTGTTGGTAGTACGAACAACAAAAGCATCCCAGTATCCAGGCTTGTTCCTCTTCACAACCCCTGCAAGAATGATGAGACCTGTTTTCAATTTAGCTGGGGCTAAAACTGAGTTAATTGGCACATTTGAACAGGTGTACATGGATATTGCAGTTACACCTAGTGAGGCTCACCCTGGGGTAGGTAATCCTGTTTAGTATATTAATATTATTAATATGATATGATTATGCTCATTATTTGATGGCAGCATAGCTCAGTTGGTTTGTGGTTAAACACTGTTTGTGCCGCTTGGAGTACCATAACTTCTTGGTATGATTCCACCCACCTGCTCATGTTAATTACTATATCATTTGTTTGTGTTAAAAATATACTCGTATTTGTTTAATAATATTTCCATCTGCAGGTTACCACTCACATGGAAGAGAGTGCAACTAGCATCTTAAGTGCTGTAGCAAGCTTGACACCATTCTCGGACTTCAACCAAAGTCCCAGGAATATGTACCAATGTCAGGTAATATTAAAAAGAACTCAGGAATATGTTGTTAAATAATAAACATATAAATGCTATTGGCAAGAATTTAGATAATTAATAATAAATATAAATATCTTATTTTTGCAAATCTCAAGGGAGTTGTTGGCCATAATAAAAAAATTGTTAAAACTTTTATTTTTTTCTGAAATGTACATTTTTCATGGCGGTGGTTGTACTGATTGGCCAAACATATAAATTTATTTTTTATTCAAAATCATCATTATTCGCTATAACAAGGTATAAAAAAAGTCTCGTCCAATGGTTAATGCATCAATTGTGGTTCATGCTCTCTCCTGGAAATCTTGGATTTAAATCCCAAACTGTGTAATTTCCTTTGTTCCGTGCATGTCTCCCATTACCCAGATGTATAATTAGGAAAGTTTTAAATCATGTAAATAATAGAGAATTTACTATTACTGTTACTTTAAAAAAACTACTGTACAGTAATTAACAGTGTTTTTAAACAGGTGTAAATATGATATTAAATGCCTGAGCGTTTGGCTAATTGGTATGGTTCCTGCCTCTTGCACGCCAGGGCCCGGGTTCGATACCCCGCTCTGTGTTGAGTATTGAATTTGGGTCTTTATAATAACAAAAAACGCTCAACTCCTCAAATAACCCTCTGAGGAGGGTTAGGCGAGTTAAGGACCATGTTAGTATCTGTTTGATGTTTATTTAAGGCATTAACTTATAAACTAATGCCTTAAATAAACATCCGTTTGGCATTAATTTATAAGTTAGCACCAGACCTGCTTACAGGCATTGCCTTCTTGGTTTCGGTATTGTACCATAGGTGGTGAAATGAATAAAGATTATTATTATTATTATTATTATTATTATTATTATTATTATTGTTTTCTTGTTTCAGATGGGTAAACAAACAATGGGATTTCCATCATATTTAATTCCTTATCGAAGTGACCACAAAATGTACAAGCTGCAGACACCCCAGAGTCCATTGGTACGTCCATCTTGCTATTTAGACTACAACATGGATAAATTTCCACTCGGAACCAATGCAGTCGTTGCTGTTATATCTTACACTGTGAGTTCTTGCTTCTTTTGTCATATTACTACATCAGTCAACCTATACAACAAAATCCATTTAATGTTTATTCAGTCACATTAAACATTGAAGAGACAGTTAAAAAGTCTTGCCTGACCTGCCCCTTTAGAAAATACAAAATCAATTAAAAGATAAATACAATGAATGGTACAAAATCAAAAGCAGTTTAAATGTCAACTACAGTATTTCCTTAAGTATCAGTCGGTGACAGCCACTTGTCTTACATATACGTCAGCAAAGCTCAAATAAGTGGTATTCTTGTAGGGCTATGACATGGAAGATGCTATGATTTTAAATAAAGGATCATTTGAGCGAGGATTTGCACATGCAACGGTCTACAAAACTGAAGAAATTGATCTCAAGAAGAAAAGTCAAAATAGTGGCAACAGAGTTTCACTAATATTTGGTAAGAAAAATCATTACTATTTTTTAATCATCATTTTTGTAGTGATTTATAGCTATTGTTATTATTTTACCCTAAAATAACTGTCACATACCATGTCATAATTTTGTCATTGGCTCGTTGTCTGAAATTAGCTGAATGTATTGTAACAGTAGAATCCAACTTTAATGCAAATATGTCAATGTGATTGGGAAAGCCAGGCCTAGGACATCAACACTAGGCTTATACATGCTAAAGCTTACTTATGAAACACTTACTGAAATATAGCACTTGGATAAAGAACTCTACACCACAATAGGAATGTAAAAATGGACTAGGGCAGTTTATTTGTTTTTGTTTGTAGTATTTATTACTATCCATATAAATAAAATACAAGTGTACAGAAAACAAATTATACAAATAGAAATGCATTGACAATATAACATTATATGGCATAGCAGAGGATAACCCTTTAAGATGGGATGCTTGTTTCAGAAGGGGTCCTTGTTACCTTTTGCAGGGCATAAGATAATGTGTAGTCAATAAGTTAAACTTAATGTCAACCAGAAAATATAGATATAGAGACAGATCAAAAATTATAGAAGATGATCTGAAAGAGTAAAGACGACATACTTGTATGGAGATCTGCAAATGTCAGATAACAATTAATGAATGTCCTATAAAAGAGATAAGTTCATCAGTGGACCTGTATATCTTGATTGATTGATTGATTGATTGATTGATTGATTGATTGAGTGAGTATAGAAGACATATAGGAATCTGTAAATGCCTGACAACACAACATTGGACCTGCATATCTTGATTGTTTGTTTGATTGATTGATTGATTGATTGATTGAAAGATTGAATAAAAG